TTCTGGCTCTTCCTGTTCATGCCCCTCCAGGAAGGGCCTAGAAGGAGGGGAGGAGAGTGGATTTACCCTAGAAAACAAGGTTGATGTAAGGAGGGCACTAGCCGTCAGGATTCCCACTAAAGGGGAGGTCAAGTTATTTACGCATCTCCCTTCTCATACAAGCACCAGGAGAAGGGACTGACCTCTGGGCCCAGTGATGTGCTCTGAGGCCAGCAAAGCCAGTGTTAGACTGCAGCTGCACTAAGCCCTAACCTACACACCCCTTCTCAGCTGCTTGAGGTGGCAGGATTCTCGGGACATTTCTTCTTTTTATTTTTCAAAGAATTATTTTATTTATTTGTTTTAATTTAACCAGAGAAATAGAGAGAAAGAGAGAGAGAGAGAGAGAGAGAGAGAGAGAAAGTGAGAAAGCAAGCTGCCAGGTCCAGGACTCGAACAGCGGTTGGCCATGTGGGAGTCCAGCACGTTAACTACCATGCCACCTGCCAGTCCAGGGCATTTCTTATTTTCATATGGATCACAAATGCCAAAGACCCTGTGGGGTCTCAAAGACCCTGTGGCCATAATCCTGATAACTTAGGACTCCTGAATCCTTCAAAGGGGAGACTGGTTTCCATACACGGGTGGGGAGATCTGTATCCTGCCAACTCCAGAAAAGCTCTTAGGACGTTCTTGGTTTACTCCATTCTCACTCCTATGTTCACGCTCTACCTTGACCTCAAGGGGGCTATTTTTCTTGCAGTATTCAGTAACGAGCCCATCTGCTTGGATAGAAACAAACCAGAAGACCACTATTCTAGCTAGCCGGGCCCATGGGTGCACCTGGTAGGTTCGGCTCGACTGGGAATCTGAACCCCAGGCCTTTCCAGATGGTTCTGGTACCATGCAGCGATGCCCCGCCCTGCACCATCACAGTCAAGCGAGAATGCATGTTACTGTGATCATCCCAGAGAGAGTTGGTAATGTCACCAAGGCCTAACGACTTCTAAGAGGGTGAAAATAAATGAAGAAGCAGGGTTTGGGTGCAGATCTGACTCATGCCGCCGTGTTTAACCTGGCTCCCATTACCTCCTTCGGAGCCTTTCCCTCTGGCTTCCCAGAGAGTTGACTTTCCTGCATGCATTTTTCTATCCTGACCAATTTTACCCTCACCTTGGGGTAGGCAGTTAGCTAGAAATGAGCAGGCAGGGGACCAGCAGATGGTGTAATGGCGTAATGGACTCCCACGTAGCTGACCGCAGTTCGAGTCCCAGACCCAGTGGCTTAAACTCATGCCGGGTGCATATGTGTGCGTGCCCCAGATCCCGAGAGGAGAATGGAGGAGAAGGGATTGTGGTGTGGCCATCCCCCCTGGGGGGGGGGGATTTCTCGCTTTCTGTCTTTCTGTCTCTCTCTGTCTCTCTGGCGAGCGCATGCGCCCTATAGCAAAAACCTCTGGAAAAAAAAAAGAAAAAGAAAGATCGAAAGAAAGAAAGAGAAAAAGAAATGAGCAGGCAGGCCCGAGATAATAGCAGAAGGATATCTATCACATCAGTCACAGCTTACTAGGAATTACAACCAGCCCTCTTAGAGAACACCTTCCTCCCACCCCACGCTTGTGCAGGGAAGGTTATCTTCCCTCCTGCCATCCCAAACACACACACAGAAAGTCACCCGTGGGATGGGATGCTAAGTCAACCTCCTAATTCCCACTGAGGCAATAAACGAGTAGGGCAGATCATCCGCATACAGCGGCTCCTCCTTTCAAAGCCCACCCTGGGCATGGTGATTAGACCATTAAATTCCTCACCTGTGAGGGACGCGCACACACAGGAAAAAGCCCGCCAAGTCAGACAGAAAAGCCAGAGACCATGACAGGCCTTCCCCTGCTAAATATATTACCAACTTTTATCATAAAAGTAACAGCTAACCCTACGCCGGGTACAGTTGTCCTCTGGCAGCTGCCCACCCGTGCCTCTCTGGCGTGGGGGTGTATTTCTTTGCCATTTAAAATCTTCCCTTTCCTATTAAAACTTCTATTTTCTGACTTCACATGTGTTTGTGGGTTTTTTTTCATTCCACATCTCAGGGCAGGTCTTTAATCTTAGAGATCTAGACCTAAGGTACCGAGGAGTTCACACACCCCACCTCAACACTCCCTCCATCCTACAGCCACCTCAGCACACAGGGTGCCAGAGCTGGGGACCTGCCGGCACCTGTCCAGCTGCTCTCTGTGACACTTGGCAAGGTGGAGAGTGGGGGCAGGTTGGGGAGCTTCCCTGGATGCAAAGAGCCCGTCGTTATGGTTTGGGGAACGGCTTCCAGGGCATTTCAACGCCTTCCAGTGTATCACAGATCTGCTTACTCACAGGTCTGGGAGGGGCAGGCTGGGAACTTTAGGCTCCCAAAATACTCTCACACAGACACACCATTTAATAATTCCAGGTCTAAAATTTTCCACCCATGACCTGCCAAAATACATTGCTAAAGATCAGTAGGGAGGACTCGAGCACCCTGGGCCAAACCCCTCTGGCAAAGAGGTTCTTCCTGCCCCCTGCGGGTGTGAGTCACGGTTGGACTGTAAGCCCCTTCGTATCCACTTCCACCTGGGTGTTGGTGTGGGCAACTGAAGACAGGCTTTTCTCCACAGGCTCTCCGCTCTCTTTGCTCTGTCCACGTCCCCGCCAGGCAGGACCTAGGGACTCCTGCACTCGGACACTAGAAAGGAATCGGCAGCCTCTGGTTTGACGGCGCTCTTGTCCAGATCCCAAAACAGCGCCCCATTACTAATGAGGGAACCAGGAATCGTTTGTCGCCGTGACATTGTGGTTAGGAAGAATCCCCTCTGCTTTCAGTTTCTCCCAGAGATTACCCAAAGACTGTCCTGGCCCATTGTGGAGACATCAAAGGAGCCACAAGAGCCAGTCTAATGACCGCAGTCGCTGTAGGTAAACGCACACACCTGTGCGCTGTGTAACAGCATTTTGGTCAATGGCTGATGGCATATATGGTGGTGTCCCATCAGGTTACAGAGGGCTCTACCGGACAGCCTCCGAGGGTAGGCTACCCCATCTAGGTCTGGGTAAGTACCCTCCATGATGTGCACGAATGACGAAATTGCATAACGACACATTTCTCAGGACGTATGCCATCCTTATGGGAGAGAAAGGGCAGGGAGAAAGGGGAAGAGCAAGAGACAGAGAAAGGCATTTTGACAGTCTTGCTGTGTCAGGAGCCTCCTGCTCTGGCCTCCCGGTTAGCTAGATGACAGGCGTGTGTATGCAGGTTACAACGGGTCCGGTTGGCCCAGGAACTGAATTTGGGTCTCCCATGTGGCGTCTTTACTTACTGCCTCCAAAACCAGTTCCCCCTCTGTAAACAGGGAGGTGCTGACCTCATAGCATGGTCATGGATTTAGAGAAGATAGTATCTGTGAAGGACTTGCAGTAGGTCAAGTATTAATAGCTACGGATCCTGGAATGGAGCTAACGCTCAGTTCATAGTGGCTGTCATTGGTCCCTAGGAAAACTATCTCTGGACCCATCTGCAATCTGTAATGCGTTTGCCAAAATTCAGTCTGGAGTTTGTACGTTGTGGAAAGGGCAGGCTCTCTGCTGAGAGCTTCTGATCACCTGCCAGGCCTATGCTTGCTTCCTAGGGATGTGCTGGGTTTGCGGGGCTCTACCAGTTTGGGCCAAGGGCAAGACATTCCCTCCTCTGGTAGGTGGGGCCCTCGAGTTTGAGGGCAGTCACTCTGGGGGGCCCTGTGGACCTCAGCCCACTTGTTCTGCTGCAGGTGAGGAGTGGTGGGCCCTACACTGCGCTGCTGTGGCTCCCCTGCAGCATCTGCCTCTGGGCAATGGCCCACGTGGTCAGTGCCCCTGAGGAAGTCTGTCTATACAGCATGTGTCATGTTTCCTGCTTGAAGGTCTCTGAGGCAAAAAGACCAGTCCCTCGGGAAAAGGAAAGAACACTGGGAGCCCCCAGGCTCAGCACCGGGAGGTCTTCCTCTCTTCCCACTTGCATCCCTAGGCATGGATCAGGTACCACCCTCAGCAGCTGCTGGGAAAGAGGAAGGAAGCAGGCAGTCAGAGGAGGGGAGGGGAGCCTACCCAGTGTGCACCACCGCTGCCCTGGGCGGGCTCTTCTCCCTCTGCCCTCCTGCTAACTTGGCCCGCTGGGAGGCTTCCTGTCTGTCCAGCAGC